GTCACAGGGAGTCGAAGAGAAGAGAGCGACATAAGAACTGACATCCAAAACCAAGCTCCCTGCCATCCTGCCAATTCTCACTCGGAGCAGCCCTGCAGCCACCCCAGGGGGCATCCAGCGGTCTCCTGGGGAGCCTTACCCTGCTCCTGCGAATCAGCTGGGGGGTTAAGAAAATCACTTTCTATGTAGACAAGGAGACCCGAAGCGTAGTTCCCCAAGTGTCAGGTGAACAATGCTGCTAATACATCGGCTCAGTGTCAACGAAATGTTGCTATTGAGTGGACTTGAGCTCACTGTGAGCCGGGGGAGGGGGGGGGCATGCTTGGAAAGGGTCTTCGCAGTGGTCCTCAACCTTCCTCAGGCCACGACCCTTTCAGACAGCTCCTGGCGGGGGTGGGGGGGTGGGGGGGGAGCTACAACCATCACATGATTTTCGTTGCTGCTTCATCGCTGTCATTTTTGCTACTGTGATGAATCAGACAACCCTGGTGAAAGGGTCGTTCGACCCCCAAAGGGGTCGCGACCCACAGGGTAAGAACCGCTGGTCTACAGGATTCCAAATGCCGTGACCTTTAGGAAGCGGGTCACCAGAGTTGTCTCCCAAGGTGAACTCGAACCTCCAGCCTTTCAGCTAGTCACCCAGTTCTTAACATCTGCACCTCCCAGGGACTCCTCTTAGGAGCACTAGGAAGGGGTCTGCACTCAGTGCTTCCCTTCAGGAATATGGACTGTGAAGAAGTCAGTCATCGTCTCTGCTTGGTGGTCTGCTTTTGCAATCCCAGGGCTGGGAACGCCTCTTTCCTGGTTGAGGACCTGGAGAGCCAGTGCAGATTGAAGGGAGTCATGTTCTGATTGGAAGGCCGGACAGGTCCTACCAAGGGCAACGTCCTGTCCTTAGACGTGGATTAGAAGTACTGTATTCTGCCGATGGATCCTAGCAGCAGTGCAGTTGTTAAACCCTGGCTGCGAACTGAAAGGGCAGAGGTTTGAGCAGACCAGTCATTCCGTTGGAAAAAGATGTGGCAGCATGGTTCTGTAAAGGTTACAGACTTGTAGACCCCCGTAGCTCAACATCTGTGGGTATGGGCATATTATGCAGATGGTATTTCTCGTGTGGGAGCTGAGATGGTTTACATACACCAGTTTCCCAAAGCTACTTGGCTTTCCAACGAAGGAAAAGCGGCAGCGGTCTCTAAAGAATGGCAGTTTTATAGGGAGCGGAGAGACAGGGTTTCACTTGCAAACAAATGCCTGTCTCTTTTTCTATTTCTCGGACTTTGACGCTACCAAAAGCACAAGCAAAGGCAGAAGGCCCACAAGGCAGAATTTTCATTTCCCTTATAAGAATAGCAGACCTCCAGCGACAGACTCGCAAAAGAAACTCCATCTTTGTAAGCCGCAATGTCACTTGCCCGTTCCTCCCTCTCATCTCGGAAGGTTGCCTGCTAGTTGACCTGCCCATTCTCCCTCCCCTTACGGGAAAGTCTCGGCTGGTGGTTAATTTTAGAATGTGCTTGCATGTTCCCAGGTTCTGGACACTACAGTTAGTTTTGAATATATATATATATATGTCTGAACGGTATAGTTGATCTTGTTATGGTAACCAGGATATTATAGTCCATTCGGGTATTGGTTCTTTTAGGATAAGGAATGTCCCTGGTAAAGCATGCTTGCTCTTCCTGGAGTTACCAGAATGCTATAATCTTGCTGAACCCAGTAATGCTCCCTAGCCCTAAAGAATAGTAACATTCGTTTTGCTTTCTGCTAAAGGATAAATGAGTTTTTCACCTTTAAAAGATGGACTGAAATGTGGACTCAGGACTGCAATCAAAGAACGGCTTTTAGATTCTAGCAGTCTCGTTGTAACCGGCTAAAGACTCTTCTACCTTAAATGACCCCGACATTACAGTGACCGCCAGGGCCTCGAGCCGACACCACTTACCTCTGTGCTTTCTCCATCGTGCTGGAGTCAGAGGGACGTGAGTTCTACCCGTTGGGCCGACCATGTTATACAAGGTGCCGTTGATACATATTTTTGATGGTTTTTTGCCTTGAAAAGAAAACTTACAGCAGTGAAATGTAATTTATCCTTAGGGCTACCTTATTACTTCCCCTGAACCAAGTAACACAAGTGGTGGAAACGATACTCTTTTAAGACTGATCTTTGTTCTGCTGGCTTGAACTCACCTGCATCCGGCAAGCACAAATGAAGTGGGTATTCCATTAAAAACAGAAACAAAAGGGTGAAAGAATTCTGCACTGGGTCCATTATGATCGTAGGGTGAAAGGAGACTTTGAGCTGCAGTTCAGTCCTCTGCCCAGCATGCAGCTGAGGAACGACGAGGCCCTGTTCCCACAGAATGTTTGCCTCCTGACTTGAGGCCACCAGTGTGAGGTCAGCTCACGTGGTCAGGATAGAATCCTTTCATTGACTCACGTCAACCAATGGGAAGACTAGCAAAACTAGAGGGTGTGCTTAAAGGTATACAAGGCTTGCAGGGGCAGCTATCAGTGAGACCAGGAACCTGCTCTCAAGTGCACAGAGAAGTCCATTATCATTCCACGCGGCCCATCAGAGAAGCAAACAGAAAAAGGAGCAGAGTGCACGTGAAGGAGCAGCACCCTGAAGCCAAACTGACTGAGTCATGATTCTGACCTTTCACTTCCTCACTCTTTGAGCTTCATCAAGTTGAATGTTTCCAGAGCCTCGGTTTCCTCCTCTACCTAGGGTTACAGTGATGGTTAAGTAATGTCACCAATGTACAGCACACACAAAAATGTCGACACTTAACTAAATGTTCTCATTCACTGCCATACAGTCCAGGCTGACTCGGGGTTTCTAAGACTAACTTTATGGGAGTAGAAACCCAGTCTTTCTCCAGTGGTTTCGAACTGCTGACCATGGGGATTGCAGCCCAATGCTTAACCAGGGTTCCATAAATAAATGTTAGTTCTGGTTATTGTAAGGGATAATATCAATATCTGCAGTAAGCAACTCAAGACACTGCAGCCTCTGGGGTACTATTCAGTAAATAGAGTAGAACACATTGTAGTCCCATGGCTTCTGAACTTGACTGTGAATCTATTTCCCATTACTGTGTATCAGATCATCAAAAATCTACCCAGTTTACCCCATATCCATCTACTGCCTCATCTTTTCTGTAGGTCAGAAGCCTGTGTGTGTGTTGCAAATAGCTTGATTCTCTATTCAGAGTCTTGCAAGGCGAAATCAAGGAATTGATGGAGGAAACGGTTTCAGATGATCCATGTCCTCTTTTAGTTCATTCCAGTTATTGGAAGAATTCTGATTCTAGCAGCTATGTAGGCATGAATTCTCTCATTTATTTTCAGCACTTGGCTGGGAGTTACTCTCAGTAACTAGAAACTGCCCTCAAATTCGAGATGTGAGGCCTTCCTCCATGGGCCATTGACGTGTGGTTGATTCCTTCAAGACCATCTGGAGAATCCCTCAAACTTGGAATTTCTTTTTTGCGTAAGGACCCAGTCCCGATGAAGGGCTTGCCTAACCCAGTCAGTCCCACCCAAAGTGATCTTTTTTATTAACTCACAGTCAATTTCTTTCGAACCTTAATTATATTACTTTGCCAAATGGTGACAGGTAATCATGTCATATTCACAAGGCTGAAGGAAGTGGATTAGCCAAGGTGTTTATATTGGAGGCCAAAAATCTTGAGGGCTATCTTGGAATTCTTCCTCTCACAACGTCCATAGCCTTTAGGGAACTGTCACAACATATAAATTATCAGACCCCAACCTAAACGATCTATTGATTCGGTATCTTTGGGGTGAATCCTGAATATCCGAGTTTCCCCCCAAGTGACTGACATCTGGAAGTAGATACAAAAAAGAAAGAAAAAAAAATAGATCCAATAGGTGCTCTTTGTGTGATAAAATGTTTACATATTTGGACTGACCTTTTGCACTTGAAACTCTTTGGGGTTCTTGTGGCTGCAGATATTTGGGGGAGCAGAAAACCTCATGCCTCTCCCACCGAGTGACTGGTGGTTTCTCACTGCTGGCTCGCAGCAGCTCTATAAGATTTCTGAGATTGCAGATCTTCATGTGTCAGACAGCCTTATCTTATTCCCTGGGAGTGGCTTGTGGGTTTGAACCACCAAGCTCTCAGCTATCAGCCTAACACTTAGTCTACATCACCACTGGCCTGTGACCTCTGTGCTTTCCGCATCAATGCAGGCGGCTGCATGAGTCCGAACAGGGCTTTATGGACTAATATTGCCCTTATGGACTGGGCTGTGACACTCTAATGACATACGATGACTTCTATACAGCTCTTTCCTATACATAACACGAGTGTCACTGGATTTGATTCTCTAGTCAACTCGGCCCACAGGGTCCTATACTTTTATGAGCTGGCTTATATTTTTATCAAGCCACATCACTCGATGACACTCTTAAAGTGAAAAGAACCACTCCCAGGAGAAAAACGGGCAGATATTCAAAGATGATAAAAGCCACTAGACGACAAAGAACTGTTAATGAATCCAGGTAACACCTGTGTCGGGGACCTCTGCATTTCAAATTTTATTTCTTTTAGAATATAGATGAAAAAACGTGATAAAGACTTGGACATTATTACAGAATTATTGGTGTTACTGTGTGAATCAAGTCAATTCTATGCCAAAGCTCCCAGGACAGAGTAGAACTGCCCCATAGAATTTTCAAGGATACAATCTATACAGAAACACACGGTTAGGTTTTTCTTCTTTGAATGAACTGTTTAGTTTGAACTGTGAAATTTTTACTTTTTTAAACTTATTTCTTATTAACCCTTACTTTGAGCTTACAGATATCACAACGTTCCATAGTTCAGTTACATCAAGCAGTGTTGTACAATTGCTACAACAATCAGTTTCAAAACATTTTCTTTCTTGAACTCCTTGCTATCAGCTCCGCTTTGTCCACCCTCCCTCATTATCCCCACAAGAACCTTTTTTTTCCTTTTCTTTTTTTCCTTTTTTTTATATAATAGTTGTTTGTTTTGCCATAGCTCACACAATCCAATATATCCACTCACATACAATTCTGTCATTCAATCCCATTAAGTGAAATTATACAACCAGCACTATCAGCTCCCCGCCCCTAACCTTTTCTTAGCACGTGTTTCACAATTGACCCAGGAGGGATCAATAGACAACTAACAGGATGTCACTTTCATATGTATTTTCTTGTGGCGCCTGAAAGTTCCCAGCTGACGGAAGCCTAGACCACAATCAGAACAGTGGTAAGGTTTTTGTCCAGTGTGGATCCTCTGATGGACGTTGAGATTCCCCTTGTGGCTGAAGTGTTTCCCACACCTTTGGCAAACGAATGGTCTCTCTTTGGTGTGGATCCTCTTGTGGCCGCGAAGGGTGGAGTCATGGGAGAACTGACAGGAGCAGATGTCGCATTTAAATGGCTTCTCTCCCGTGTGGATTCGGTTGTGGACACGGAGATCTGATGGCTGCATGAAGCCTTTCCCACAGGTGCTGCACTTGAAGGGCCTCTCTCCTGTGTGTGTCCTTTGGTGGATGTCAAACTGAGATTTATAAGTAAACAGTTTCTCACAAAATCCACACTGATGGAATGACTGCTTTGTGGATCTTTGCTTTTTAGCCACCCTGTGGTCAATTGGTCCCATGGTTCCTGGTGAAGTGCAGTCAGCGGGTTCCACAGTCTTCAGTGCACCATGCTCTGTTGGTCTCAATTGTGCCAAACCAGTATGTCCTTCATTATGTCCTTCTCGATTTGTCTCTGACTTGTTTGGTTTTCTTCTTTTGGAACGTCCACGATTCTCCTCATAATCTCGTCTGTTTGGGCCTTCAGTAGAAACTGGTCTCTCCACAACTGGGGAGTATGGCGTGTCAGCATCCACATTTGCAACAGAAGTACCTTCTCCACGATTCCCACTCTCATTGGCCCACACAGAATCTGCTGGAAGCAAGGATTTAGAATACATTATTTACTGATCACTCACTTACATGGAGCCAATTCTAACCCATAGTGACCCTATGGGACAAGGTGTAAGTGGCCCTGAGGGCTCCAGAGACTGCAAATCTCTATGAGAAAAGAAACCCTCATCTTTCCCCTCCAAATGGGTTATCAGTTCAAACTGCTGTCCCTGTGGTCAGCAGCCTAGTCTTTCACCCATTATGCAGACAGAGACACTACACAACACTTAGTGAAGCACACTTGATTAATACCACATACATATGGCTTAACATTAGTCTCGCATGAAACTGTCCCAGCCTCACAAGCTTAAGAGAACATAGGGTATTCTGGAAAGACACAGTGAAGATTGGAAATCTAAGCCACAACATCCACTCTGAAAAGGCAAACCTGGTTACCGTGGACAGTACAGGAACAAAGAAATCTGCCTTGGCAGAAGTATAATATTCCTTCGAGGTTAGGATAGTGAGACTTCCTAACATATTTTACCCATCAGAGCCTAAGGCATAACCACGACAGCCCCACGCTATTCATCTTCACATGGTTTGAATGTCATTAGGGGAGACCGCACACCCCTTTAGTAATGTAGAGTGTAAGAGAGAAAGGAGAAAAAGACGGTGGGTGTCCTAACCATTTTTAACAATCCCCATATTTACCAGCTTCTTTCAGAAGGTGAGGCTCTTGAGTGATGTATGTTGTTGACTTAGTCCCATTGCCCATCAAGCTCTTTTCCAAGATCTTCTCAGGTATCAGACTCTCCAGTTCACCATATGCAGACACAGTCTCTGGCGGACAACTCTGCTTCTGATAAAAGACAACAGAATGTGGTGGATAATCTGCCTAGAGGAAAATAGGAAAGGGCACCTGCCTTCTCCACACTTCTACCCATACTCTTGATCTAACACCAAACCTCCCTAGAAACAAATTATGGCCAAACACACAGATGTCCTACAGACCGCACCCCCAATCAATATCAATACTTCATTCCCAAGTCTGTTATTAATTAGTTATTCCTCACATTCTTACAAATTGAATCATGATCTGGTGGCACCACAATTAACACCTAAGATGCTGACCTCACCAGTCACGCCATAGAAACCCTATGGGAGCATCTCTTCTCTGTCCTATCCGGTTAGTGTCAGTTGGAATGCACTAAATGACAGCTGTGTGGTCAAGGTGTGGACTGCAGCAGGGACAAGGAGAAAGGCTTAAGAATCTTAATTTTTCCCAAACCTGCTGTGATCTCGAATGCAAGTATTTGTCAAAAGAACAACAACCCATTTACTCTCCCCTCATTAGGACTTTGGCAGGTACCTTAACTTGATAGGGTGAACAACTCGTGGGTATTCGATCTTCAGACAGAGTAAGCTCCATTTGTCCACTGGTGTTAGGTAAATCAGGCTCGCTTGGTCCCACAATCCTCAGTGAATCATGGGCATTAGGCTCCCTGGTCTTTGGGGAATCTACTGGGCAAATATTAAATAGTGCCAGGAATTCTGCTTTGACCAAACAAGTAGCTTCTTCATGGAGTTCTTCAGATTTCTGGGAGTTGTCTGGTTTTCTACTTTGGGAATGTCTCCGGTTCTTCTCGCCATCTTCCCTGTTTGTGCCTGGAGCAGACATGCGTTTCCTCAAAACAGGGGCAGTTGGTGTGTCAAGCTCCATATTTCCAAAAGAGGTGCCTTCTTCAGTACTCTTTCTGCCACCGGCTCCCAAGGGATCTACTGGAAGAGAGGGTCAACAGACACGTGCTGAGCTCACACTTCATCGGAAACCCTGATGGAAGAGCAGTGAGTCCTTATGAGGTGGCCCTGCTCATGCTTGCACTGAAGAAACATGGCACAACACGTTCCACTGAGTACAAATCCTGCCCTAACCACCGACCCGTTCTGTGATCTGGAGTAACTTTCTTGACTCACAGTGAGTCTATAAAAGGGAAAAGACCCCTCCCCCGCCCCCCCAAAAGGGAAAAGACCATGGCCTTCCCCAGTTTTCACTGTCATTGTTCAGTTCTGACCCATCATAGGCCTAGGTCAGAGCAGAACCACCCATCTGGGGTTACCAGATTGTAGGGGTTTTTAGGGGAGTAGAAAGCCTTTTTTCCTCAGGGTGGCTGGTTCTGATACGGTGACATTGCAGTTATCAGCCCAACACATAACCCACTCTGCAAGCCACCCGGCTCCACCCTTTCAGGTCTAATGAGAATTAGATATTAGATAAACATTACTTAAGAGTGGGTGAGATCCCTGGGTCATGGAATAGGCGATGAGTTCACTTCAAGGCTATGCTAACCACAAGAGGTCAGCAGTTCACACCTACTCCACGGTCCTGGGGAGGGTGATGCGACTGTCTACACGTGTACAGACTTTGAGTCCCCAGGGGCAACGCTGGCCTGTAGGGTCTCTATGAATCACGATGGATACATCAATGGGAACTGGTGTGTGTTTGTGGGCTTTTTGCAACCGTGCATATCTTCCCTTTCTTATCCTTCTCACCCGCTCGAAGACTGTAATCGTTTCTATACTCAGGCATGTACAGGGCCTTCAAACGGCTCTTGGAGAATATGATTTACTCCGAGGACTGTTGCAAAACCTCTTTGAAATCTTCCGTCTCTGCGTCTGACCCTGTGTGCCTCGACAGAGATACGGTCCCTCGGATCCCACCATGTTTGCCAGCATTATGTCTTCTAAAACGCTTGATATACATTTCAAAACTTTGTGATTCTGCCAGAAAAACGAGGGACTACTTCCACTCGCTGCATTATGCCCTGCTCTCATCAGTTAAAAAAGAATGATTTAGTTAAATATAGAAGACAATGGAGAGGAGTCATTCATGGGCCCTTGGTCCCCAGGATGCATACTTACCAGCACCCTTCAGAAGCTGAGGCTCTTGGGCCACACAGGCAGTTGGCTCATCCCCATCTTCTGTCACGTTCTTGTCCAAGTTCTGCTCAGGGCTCAGAATCCACAAATCACCACTTGCGGAAGTAGCCTCTGGCAGAAATCTCTGCCCCTAAAAATGGAGACCCCAACATGGTGAGTGATGTGCCTGGATTGGAGTCTGGAAGGGTCTCTCCCTTCTTTCCTGGCTACTCCTGTTAGCCTGGCTGTCACTCTAAACTTCTGAAATAACAATTCTGTGGATACACTCAGACAGCCTATGGGCTACTTCATCTCCAGTCAGTATCAATATGGAAATGTCTACCTCTCAGGACTTGATATTCCTCACATTTCTAAGTCCCAACCTTCCAGGTTTTGCTCTTTGAACAATGAGCCCCAGTGACACAGATTACGAACTGAGACGATGAATCTGAATCCGCCGTCACCCCACAAGAGGAAAAACAACGTGTAATCTGCTCTTTCTAGGAATGCCCCTAAGAAAACCTGTGCTAGCAGTTCATTTCTCTAGGGCTACACTGCCTTAACACCATGTGAATGCCCAAGGTGTTCATGATGGTGGGGATGAGGAACAAGGATAATGAATCTTGATTCTGCCCTAACTTGGCATGAGTGGATTCTGACTCACAGTGGTACTACAGGGCAGGATAGTAAGTGCCGTATATACTTGAGTATAAACAGACCCAAATAGCAGCCTAATTTTACCACAGAACTGCATAAAAAATGTGCTGAGAAAACTCAGCTTATCCTCGAGTACACAGGTACTTCCCCACAAGGTTTCCAGAGCTGTCCCTTTTACAAAGGTAGACTGTCATCCCTCTCTGCTGAAGAGCAGCTGGTGTGCTTAAACCACCACACGGTCAGTTAGCAGCCAGGTGATTGGTCACCGCACCACCAGGGCTCTAAGACTACAGCGCATCCATGCAGTGCCTGGGGAAATGAATCCAGGCTCTTTCTAGGACAGCTCTTTCACTAACCAAGCACCTTGCCTACCGCAGTCCTCTGTACCTTTTCCCACACCTACCCAATCATTAGTCATTCCATACTCACCTGCTGTCGTCTGCTTGAGGCTTCATCCGTTGCTGGAAGATTCTGGTGCTCTTCACCGACCTCCCATCCATTTGCCAGAGGGGTCTCACTCACAAGGGAACCTGGCTCCCTGCACAAGATGTTCACATCATCTCCATCCCTGGCCTCAGATTCGACCATCTCAACATCTGGATTTTGTAGAAGAAATTGCTCTCCATTTATGGAGACTATAGACTGTGAGGGGTGGGGAGAAAATCAAGATCAGATTTCCTATGAGCACTTACATACATTTTCCCAAAGATGGTATACAATAATACGGATAAAAGACAGGAAAAATTATAAATGAATTTCAAATTCTCGTGAAGTACAGACTTTTTTTGTACCTATGAAGGTTGTATAAACCCAGAAAACTATTTCCCTGAAATAATGCTTGAACATGAAACCAATAAAAGCCCCTGAAATCTTCAACCCAGACATTTGTTTAGCTTAACTACTAAAAAATGTCTGTCTTGGAAATTATGATTTTTAACATCTATTTGGAAACAAATGGCAACTCCAAAGATTAGATAGATAGATAGCCAAAGATTAGATAGATAGACAGACAGACAGACAGATAGATAGAAACATCAGGAGGGACTGAGTTTCTGTTACAAGGGCAGAGGAGCAACTCAGGAGAGAATGAACATGCACGTTTTTTAAACGACTGAGTCTTAGCTCTTTTGCACCAGTGGTTTCCTCCTATAGCTTCATTCGGTGTCCCCAGTCACCTAGTAGAAAAACTCAGGCAACCTACTTCATCCCCAAGTGATCCGTGGACAAGGCAGTGAATGCTGTTCCTGCTCTGAGACACAAGGGGGAAGGGCGGGGCATGGGTTAGAACCGACTCCTAGCAGCTCTTTCTGTGAAAACGCTCCTGATGACGTGAATGATTTGGTCTTCGATGTCAAAGGAAAGGGATCGGAATACCGACATTCAGCCACCTGCTATCCAGACCACTGACCCACAGCGCTCCTTTAGACAAAAGGCATATGGGCCAACGGGTTCTAAATCCTGCGCTTCATGGCATCTCAACCTGTGTTGGGACTTAGGGAACTTCCCGGGGGAAACGCTTCTCCAAGTTGCCAGGGGATCTCTGATGCCAACCAGGGCGGATGAGTGGCATAAACATAAAACGAAAGCGACTGGCCTGACTTCAAGCCCAGATTCTGACTCACGGGGACCTTCGAGGACTGAGTACAATGACCTCTTGCGGTTTCCAGGCAACCCGAAAGAACAGAATGGATGTAAGCAGCCTGCAAAATGTATCCAATTTCAGGAGTGAGGGGGAGGTGCGGAGGCCAAACTCAAAGCCCATCTGTAGGTAATTGGACCATCCCATTAAGGAAGGGTTGTGGGGGAGAAGAGCCAGTCAGGGTGCAGTAGATGAAACATACAACTTTCCTCTAGTTCTTTAATGCCCCCCACCCCAACAACCCCAATTCTACCTTACAAATCCAGCCAGACCAGAGCATGTACACAGGTACAGATAAGAGCT